TTACACTACAAAACGACCCATTACACTACAAAACGACCCATTACACTACAAAACGACCCATTACACTACAAAACGACCCATTACACTACAAAACGACCCATTACACTACAAAACGACCCATTACACTACAAAACGACCTATTACACTACAAAACGACCCATTACACTACAAAACGACCCATTACACTACAAAACGACCCATTACACTACAAAACGACCCATTACACTACAAAACGACCCATTACACTACAAAACGACCCATTACACTACAAAACGACCTATTACACTACAAAACGACCCATTACACTACAAAACGACCCATTACACTACAAAACGACCCATTACACTACAAAACGACCCATTACACTGTTTTTTTCAACAAAAAATGTGATTATAACTTGACAGGATGTCTTCCTTCAGTTTGTAACCCAAATAAAACAAAATGTGATTTTCAACAAGGCAGGCAGACATATCCGCCTCAAATTTAAATACAAAGAATATGATATGGAATGTGTACAACATTGTAAATATCTAGGTGTGTATTTTAGTGCTTCAGGTACATTCTCCTATGCTCAGAATGAATTACACAAGAAAGCTTTAAAAGCATATTTTAAACTTAGGAAAGATTTATTATCTCTAAATCCTAGCTTAAAAACTAGTATACATGTTTTTGATCTTTTTGTTATTAATGCTATTTTCATTTGTCTATTATAATATCTGTCACGTTATATACTGTACAATGTCTCATGTGTGTTGCTTATATTATCATAATTGTTTATTGTAAATGCCCCCTGTGGGACACTGATTAGAATAATAAAATATTTTGATTTTGATATTTTGATTTTGTACTAGATAAATATGCAAGAAACCCATTTTAGACAAGGTACTCCCATAAGCATGGAAATCTCGTGGCTAGTCACATATTACAACGCTGTATGCTCCCATTCAATGTTACATGCCATTCCAGTCTTCAAAGATAACATACATAAAATTGAGAATGGAAATGGGGAATGTGTCAAAGAGACAACAACCCGACCAAAGAGCAGAAAACAGCCGAAGGCCACCAATGGGTCTTCAATACAGCGAGAAAATCCCACACACGGAGTTGTGCTTCAGCTGGCCCCTAAACAAAAATATGTACTAGTTCAGTAATAATGGACGTCATACTAAACTCCGAAATATATAAAAGAAACTAAAATTAAAAATCATACAAGACTAACAAAGGCCAGAGGCTCCTGACTTGGGACAGGCGAAAAATGCGGCGGGGTTAAACATTTTTTTGGAGATCTCAACCCTCCCCCTTTACCTCTAGCCAATGTAGAAAAAACAAACACACAGAAATACGCACAGTAAAACTCAGTTTAAAAGAAGCCTGAGTCCGATGTCAGAATAGGTAACAAATGAAACTAAACAAAATGACAATGATACATAAATTAACAATGGACTACTAGCAGTTACTGACATGCCAGCTCGTGACCTCAATAAAACTGATTGAAAGAATCGATTTAAGCTATAACGTATACAAAGAATACAAAAGAGACATTTTAGTTATATCATCATCATCATCATCATCATCATCATCATCATCATATAAATCATCATCATATAAATAATACTTTATACTACAAAAAATACGGAATTTTGGAAACATATTTCATAAAATTAGATTAAAGCCTTTCTAACTGACTTTTGTTATTTGTTGTTATGCTGTGTTGTTACACCATTGTCCCAGGTTAGGGGAGGGATGAGCGCTCATAGAAATGTTTAATTCCGCTTCACTCATAATCCAATGGTTGGTGTTTGTTACAGTCTGCCATAATATATTGTTTTTCGTTTTAATAGATATAAGAAGATGTGATATGAGTGCCAATGAGACAACTCTCCATCCAAGTCACAATTTGTAAAAGTAAACCATTATAGGTCAAAGTACGGCCTTCAACACGGAGCCTTGGCTCACACCGAACAGCAAGCTATAAATCTTATTAAAAAAGCTGCTGTTGTTTTTTTTACTTTAAAATTGTTTTCCATTTTTTGTTCTTATGAACTTTTAAACGATAGGATGTTTGATCATGGATAAATGACAATAAACAAACAATTACAACTGAACATTTATACATAACTATGTGATGTTAATTTTCTATATCAATTACGTTTCTTCTTATCAAACAGTACATGCGTTTTGTTTATTAAAACGATTTTATTGCAATTCGAATAAAACGAGATATGGATATAGGTCGATGAGAGAGATCCCCACAACTCAAAACGACAGCTAAGTGTCAACATAAAATCTTAGTATACAAAATGTCGAGCTCAAAATCACCCCCGAGTCTAAAGAAATTGGGATAAAATGAAACAGCAACTAGAACTGTATAAGATCATTTATCAGCACCAATATCATTTCGTTATGACATAAGACACCGACTAAAGTGGTTTCTGACATGAGACTGGCACATGAATATATGACGAGACTGTTCGCATTACAAATACACACTTTGATTAAATATACGATAGAAAAAATGGTAATATAGGAAGTGAATGATCTACAAATCCAATATACAATATAGAAATAAGGAGATTGGCATGATTGCCAATGAGAAAACTATCCACTAAAGTTCAAATGAAGTGGATGTAAGCAATTATAGGAAACCATACGGCCTTCAACAATGAGAAAACCCTATACCGTATAGTCGGCTATAAAAGGCCCCGGCATGAAAAATATGACAGACACGAACCAACGACATGTTTGTTTGATTATGTATTTTTTTATTCACATCTTCAAAGTTATTTATACAGTCTTTGAATAATATTTTGTAGATTTTAAATAATGTTCCTCTTGATCAATCTGATCTTTCTATACCTAACTGTCATCTACGTCGAAACAGACGCTGCAAGTGGGAGACAATGCTACTTTTCAACAAAATGTCGTTGTTTCTTATTTTTACCAACACCATATTATGTAACAGTAAATTTGGTCCGGTAGTGAAATTTGTCCCCGGACTTTGTTTCCTAGGTAATTAAGTCCACGACCATTATTTTACTAGAAAAATAAATCCCAGGATAAATTTTCTTAGGAAAATAAGTCCATAGCTAGTAAAATATGTCTGGCTATTTTTCCTTGTAAAAATTATCCAGGGACTTACTTTTTTGGTAAATTATGGTCATGGAGAATTTTTCATGCATATTTAGTCCATGTCTCAACAATGAAAATTCAACCAATGTCGTCGTGATAACTTCAATTTGGATAGTAAAACAAAATTACCCATAATTATTTTTACATACACATGTACAGTAAATTTAATTGATCTTCAAACTGGACAAGTTTGTTATTGTATCAATGAAAAATAAATAAATAAAAGGCTCTATTTGCCAGTTCTAAATTTTTGGTACAATTTTTCATAATACAGAGAGAAAAAAATACATTTTTGAGAAATTTTAGAATACTGATTGTAAGTTTTCTTCCTTTAAAACAATTATTATTTTAAGGAGAAGCTGTTAAATGCTGTTAACGCATGCCTTCGCAAGGTAAGACAAATTTGTCTTAACAGAAACAAATCTGTTTCAGTTTTATTAGACTGTTGTCATTCCAGTTCAACCCAACTTCAAGAAGTCAACATATGACTGATCTGCATATTTTTTTAACAAAATAGGTCACTTTGATCATTTTGAGGCCGGATTCATCTACCACAAAAAAATTTAGACATTGTGGTAGATGATTGGCCTGATTCTTTAAAATACAAATTTGCTCATATTCTACTTTTTATCAAATTGCTGTTTTGTGTTTTAACTTGAGCTCAATTAAAATAAAACAAACGTTATCTTACCAATTTGATAGAGAATATATTCCACGGAAACAGTATTCATTTATTATCTCCCATCTATAAATATATTCATGATGCGGTCCATATGTGCTCTATATATAAGCCACCCATGACGGTCATACAATGGCTTCATTTGCATTTAAAAAAGAAAACATTGAACACAAAAAAGAAATAAAACGAGCAAAAAAAAAATCCACAAATACCAAATATTTCTCGTTTAACAAATTGATAAACTTCTATTTTTGAACAATGCATTATGATATCGTTATAAATAATAATCACCATAATAAAGAATCAATTTAAATAGATTAGACATAAAAGCATGTATTAGATAAATATTGCGCTCTTGGTTATATAGCTTCTCAAGTATTCAAGTCTTTTTACATCCTTGGCTTTCATATTTTGGAGTTCGACCGTTCCTGATGTAATAAATTTATAATGTGTTACTTTCAATTCCATGCATATTTAATTCAGTAACTAGACAGTTTTGTCATCACAGTTGTCCTTCTTTCAAAGGAGATCTTTGTTAAACAGGTCAAGACCACTACATTTCCTGACGTCAGTATATATTTGCATAGTAGTTTCCCAAATAGAAGGTAAACATGGCCTTGAAAAAACTCACCAATCGACTCAATGAACTACAATGCATTGTGGGCTACTACGAGTTTACTACTACTTAAAACACGTGGAATAAGTGGGAAAACTGTCAACTTATATAGTGTCTGGGACTCTCATGCTTACTAGTTTTGTTCAGACAATGTATTAAATGTAAAATATATAGCATAATCTTTAATTTGCATGCTCAGATTAAAAAAATATTGTTTTCTGGCTACACGATTCGACTTTCTTTTTCGTCTTGTAAAAGTAGTTAAACAGGTTTTGTCCATTGTTATGCATTGTACCTGTGCATTTATTTCACGTGAAACAGTGAAATTTTCAATGAAGTGACCGCAGTCCAGTATAAAGATCATTTGAGCTCTTTGAAACCTGTCAAAACGGTTGCACGTCTCTCTCTCTATATATATATGCTCTTGGATTTTTTGTATCCTGTATAATGCCATTCGAAACACATTGAAATTCGAAACTGTTTAAATAAACACGAGTCCTTTTCCCGTAGTGGTCGTATCGATGCTTATCAGGGTTTAGATTTCATTTTAGAGGAACTTATAATCGAACATTAAAGGAAAACTCCAGGTTTGACTGAAGCTGAGTTTATATGAAAAAAAGTGTTTTATCAAACGTAAATAACCCAACGAGATTTAAATTAACTCTTCTAATAATGAAATACGGTTTATTAAATTTGACATTTTCACAATATCATGGTAGACGCCATCTGTAAGTACTCTTCTAATAAAAGACAGATTCGGTGCCAATTATTCTCGTTGTTTATTGTTTCAAACCGATAAGCCCCGAAGGTCTCGTGACGTCACACAGTCTGTTTGGTACTGAAGCAGTGTGGATAAACATATCATTAAAATATTTTTTTACTTCGCTATAATTAAACACGATTCGCTGAATATTTCAATAAAGATGCCGTCTTGCCAAGCATTTAATTGTACTAACGAAAAGGGGAAGTGTACAAAAAGTTTTTTCGTTATCCCTGATCCTTCAAAAAGTGCAGATAAAAAAAAACTTTGCAAACAATGGATCTCGAACTTGAAAAATGGTAAACTGCAAATAGAAAATTTTAAATATAACAGTAGCAAGGTTGTTTGTGAAGACCATTTCACGCCCGATTCATTCGAGAGAAACCTGGTCAAAGAATCTTTGAACTTCTTACCAAAAAGAAAATATTTGCGACAAAATGCAGTACCGACAATTGTCAACACAGGAATGGACACCAGAAAAACACAGGAACGATCGACCAATTCTACACAAAAACGTCGAAGTGCACAGGTTAGTAAATAAAAATAATATTTAAAAAAAGAATCACTTGTACTTGGTTTTATCGTCATACGCAAAATTAAAACCATTTCCACGTGTGCAGTAATGTGTGTGTAGTATCATACTATCAGGTCGTTTGAGGTCATTTTTAATATGCGCGTGATTGTAAACAATATATATCATGGTATCACGGTGTGTTCTCAATATAACATTCCTCGCGGAGATCAGGGAATAATAAACAATTATTATAATGCATTGCTGAGATGGTCAAATACTTATATCAGTTACTAATAAACAAAAACAAAGTCCTGAAACCTGGTCTCATACGAGTTGTCTAATATTGATTAGGTTCTAACACCCCATTTTCAGTCTGCGTTACTGAAACGCAAAACATTCGTTTGCCTAGTTATTTAAATAAAATATGCTGTGCATTAACACAAGAGAACAACAACGGATATTTAAAAAACTGTTATTATCCACGTGAAGAATTGGAAAAAATATGGGGAAAAGGGGGGTGGGTAGGGGTCGGCTTAAAAGTTAAATTCCAATAAATATCGTGTATTTATTTTATTTCATTACTTTATGCAGGTTAAAGAAGAGATTAAGTTGTCAATTAAAAAAAGAAAAGCGGCAACATGTTCTACACCATCAGTCAGTTCAGAGACTTTGACCTTACATGATCAGGTATGCAAAACTAGTATTTTTATAGAATGAAGATAATAACATCTGTCTGAACTTTTTAATGTTTCATTTTAATATATAAAAATGTTTTTCTATTACACAATTCATGATGTATTGTTTTATGTGTACATGTTATGCTGCCCATCAAGAGCCCTTGATTGGAATAATAAATATTCTTTATTCTTTATTCTTAGTACACATAGAGAAAATAGGGGACGGCAGGGGGATGGGGTAGGTTGGTGAAATACAACAATTCCAATAAATATCGTGTATTTATTTCATTACATTTTTTTTTCAGGTCGAGGAAGAGACCAAGCTGTCTATTGAAAAACCAAAAGCGGCAACATGTTCTACACCTTCAGTCAGTTCATCTGTAACGCCCACAACTCACGACGTATTTATTACAGACGAACGTTCACCTAATCTGACCCAGTCAATGGGATATTTTAGCGCGCCAATCAATGGTCTCGTCTACACTGTTTTGCACATGATTCTATTGTGTCTAACAGCTAGTATAAAATGGAAAACAGTAACTAAGAATTACGATACTCTTATTATAAATATATAAACATTACAAAGAATTCTATAGTAAATATCTCTTTTCAAGATAATGGAAAACCAATCTTTCTGAAAGGTGTTGGTGTTTGTGTTTGTTTCTTAGAGACGAAGTAATAAATAGATACCCCTCCTCGATTTAAATGACTTTTTTAATCATAAAAGTAGGTACAATATCATTACATCAATTATATGAATTGCTTGGACATTTCAGTGACCCCAACATATATTTGACACACTCTAAGTCTTCTCCTTTTTGTACGAACCCACTCAAAATTCCAGGATCCCTTATAATTTAACTATCCGAATGAAAGTTCATCTTATGGGTAATTGTGTTTTTCACTGTTGTTTAGTTGGTGTCTTGTGGACAAATATCTGAAATCTTCGTTTAATCATCAATAGTAATGGCTTTATTTTTGGGTAATTCAAACATTCGTAAACTTTCTTCGCATAGAAACAACTATTCGTTACGGAAGCCGGTTAGTGTCAGGGTGTAGTTTTATTTTTAAGTCATTATAACGACTTAGCTAATTCGTTATAACGACTTAGGTATCTTGTTGATTCTGAAAACAGAAAAATCTATCACCTTACAGGAACTTTCTGAGAGAAAGGGAAATAATTAGGCCAATAAGACCGACTGGAAAAATAATAACACTTCATATTTTAGTACTTATTTCACAACTCCGGGAAATCCTGAAATTCGAATTAATGATATATTTACAAGGAAAGCTATCACCTTGCTTACCTCTATAATTTATGTATATTAACGACCACCATGTTGGTTTATCCCGTGGGAAAATCAACACAAATTGAATCTCAACACCCCAGGGAAGGTTTTGGTCAAGTTTCCTTCCAAATATCCCAGTTGTTTTAAAGAAATTGCAATTTTATTATAGATGTGGTAATTGAATATTTAAATTCCAAATGAATCTTAAAAATATTTAAGTTATCACACTGATTTATATACAGAGATCAAATTTCCATATTCGTGGATGGATGGATTTTTAATGTCCGGTGGCAAATTAAATGTACATTCAGGACGAGAACAGGTTAATGCGATATGAATACGAACTCTATATTCGTGGACGTGTAAAGTTATATAAAAAAGATTTTAATTAATATAGTCAACAGAAAAATAAATTTCATTGAAATAATTTATAATTGTCATTCTAGCTATAATGACTCTCAAAATGATTTTCCGGGATTCTCTCATTTAGTAAAAGAACATGTTTGTATCTTATAATCATGATGATATTCTTTTAAAATACAATGTTTTTTAAAATGAAAACAACAACGATAAAGTTTCAGACACGATGTTAATTGGAGTAAGTTTATTCGGACATTTTAGAATTCATTCCCAATCGTCTCCGTCAGTAGTAGACTAATGAGTGGTAAACAAAGAAGATTCACCTTTTAAAATTTTGATTTGGAAAAACCCAGATCAATTTGAAATGAATGAGGACACGACTTACAATGTATCCAGACTTTTAGAAAACCTATTCAATGAAAATAAATATCGCAAGTGCTCAACGGTTTCCGTCAAGGAAAGAGCATCTTCAAAATGAAGATTTCGTTTGGTGTAAAATCCCCCATGGTCGTTAACGTAAATTATCGATCGGAAAACAAGGTAACTTATTTTTTACATTATATTCCCTTAAAAAAGATAGCTTTAGATAATTTCAATGATAATAAAAAATGATAATAATAATAACATTGTTGCTATTTTTACTTACGAAATAAATGAACGTACAGAGAAAAATATGAAAAATAAATAGATATATGTATTTTCAAACGGTTTAATGAAATTACGTCTTCATCAGGCCTCTCACAAATATACGCATGATGCTTTTATGGTTTATCCAGACTTACGTTATCATCATCTAAGAATCTAATGTTGTTAATGATACTTTATACTACAAAAAATACAGAATATTGGAAACAGATTTCATAAAAATTAGATTAGACCCTTTCCAACTGGTTTTTAGTTTGTTTGTATGCTGTGCTGTAACGTTATTGTTGCATGTTAGGGGAAAGTTAAGCATTCACATAAATTTTTCATCCCGATACACTCGTAATCCAATGGTTGGTGTGTTGGTAACAGTCTGTCATATATTGTTTTTCGTTTTAATTTTTATTAAAATTTTCATGCCGTTTTTTTTTAAATTTTAAATCGTTTTACATTTTGTGTTCCTGTGGCCGTGTCAACAAAGCTATCTTAGGACTAGGATATATCGTAGGACGGTCTAAGGACACGTCTTAGTCCTAAGGCAGGTTAACGAAGATATTCTAAGAATGTTTTTTCAAAAGATTCAATTGTGTTACATTGTTTTAAATTTGTAGACAATTGTTTTATGAAATACTTCCAGATATCAACAAGTCGTTAAACTTTATATTTTTCAGTTTTAGATTTTGGAACAAAAAATGCCTTGTGTGGTTGTTCTAGAACAACATGTAACCTGATGCACATATCTAAATACACTTAGAACTAAAATTGCTTTTCTATACAAAACAGTTTGAAATGACATCCATCGCAGCTCTCAAAAATTTATCTTTGACGATGTCATATTATTATACTCCTTTAAAATAATTCGTGCTGTCTTTTTTGAAGCTTAAAAACTCTATCAATACTAGCAACATTTTTTGCATCTCTACATATTTTTATAAATTTAAATAAATGTGTTAGGATGGTGCTAGGACAATTATGGTTATGACTGCCATAAAATAGCTGGTTTTACATCATAAGACATGTCTTAGACACGTCCTAAGACCATTCTAAATAATGTCCTAAGGATATTGTCGTTGACATAGGGGGCCCCAGGGTACGAGTTTTATTCATGGATATATGAACTAACAATCACATAAGAACATTTATACATAAATTTATGGTGTGAATTGTTCATATCAATTACTTTTCTTCTTTTCAATCGGTACATACGTATTGTAAAGGAGATACGGATATAGCTCGACGAGACAGTAACCCCACAATTCAATGTGTCAACATACAGTTTATACAAAATGTCAAATTCAAAATCATCACCGAGTCTTAAGAAATTTGGATCAAATGAAACATAACTAGTGCTGTAAGAGATACATCATCAATTCTCACAATAACATTAAGTTATTTAATAAGATAACGACTATAGTGGGTTCTAACATGAGACTAATAACATTAAGTTATTTAATAAGATACCGACTATAGTGGGTTCTAACATGAGACTAATAACATTAAGTTATTTAATAAGATAACGACTAAAGTGGGTTCTAACATGAGACTAATAACATTAAGTTATTTAATAAGATAACGACTAAAGTGGGTTCTAACATGAGACTAATAACATTAAGTTATTTAATAAGATACCGACTAAAGTGGGTTCTAACATGAGACTAATAACATTAAGTTATTCAATAAGATACCGACTAAAGTGGGTTCTAACATGAGACTAATAACATTAAGTTATTTAATAAGATACCGACTAAAGTGGGTTCTAACATGAGACTAATAACATTAAGTTATTTAATAAGATACCGACTAAAGTGGGTTCTAACATGAGACTAATAACATTAAGTTATTTAATAAGATACCGACTAAAGTGGGTTCTAACATGAGACTAATAACATTAAGTTATTCAATAAGATACCGACTAAAGTGGGTTCTAACATGAGACTTATAACATTAAGTTATTTAATAAGATACCGACTAAAGTGGGTTCTAACATGAGACTAATAACATTAAGTTATTTAATAAGATACCGACTAAAGTGGGTTCTAACATGAGACTTATAACATTAAGTTATTTAATAAGATACCGACTAAAGTGGGTTCTAACATGAGACTAATAACATTAAGTTATTTAATAAGATACCGACTAAAGTGGGTTCTAACATGAGACTTATAACATTAAGTTATTTAATAAGATACCGACTAAAGTGGGATCTAACATGAGACTTATAACATTAAGTTATTTAATAAGATACCGACTAAAGTGGGTTCTAACATGAGACTAATAACATTAAGTTATTTAATAAGATACCGACTAAAGTGGGTTCTAACATGAGACTAATAACATTAAGTTATTTAATAAGATACCGACTAAAGTGGGTTCTAACATGAGACTAATAACATTAAGTTATTTAATAAGATACCGACTAAAGTGGGTTCTAACATGAGACTAATAACATTAAGTTATTTAATAAGATACCGACTAAAGTGGGTTCTAACATGAGACTAATAACATTAAGTTATTTAATAAGATACCGACTAAAGTGGGTTCTAACATGAGACTAATAACATTAAGTTATTTAATAAGATACCGACTAAAGTGGGTTCTAACATGAGACTTATAACATTAAGTTATTTAATAAGATACCGACTAAAGTGGGTTCGAACATGAGACTAATAACATTAAGTTATTTAATAAGATACCGACTAAAGTGGGTTCTAACATGAGACTTATAACATTAAGTTATTTAATAAGATACCGACTAAAGTGGGTTCTAACATGAGACTTATAACATTAAGTTATTTAATAAGATACCGACTAAAGTGGGTTCTAACATGAGACTAATAACATTAAGTTATTTAATAAGATACCGACTAAAGTGGGTTCTAACATGAGAGTAATAACATTAAGTTATTTAATAAGATACCGACTAAAGTGGGTTCTAACATGAGACTAATAACATTTAGTTATGGCATAATACACCGACTGGAGTGATTTCTAACATGAGACATATAACATTTTGTTATGGCATAAGACACCGATTAAAGTGGTTTGTAACATGAAACCAATAACATTTAGTTATGACATAAGACACCGACTTGAGTGGTTTCTGACATGTTACCAATAACATTTTGTAATGACATAAGACAATGAATAATGTTGTTTCTAACATGAAACCAATAACATTTAGTTATGACAAAAGTCACCGATAACATATAGACATGACATAAGACACCGACTAATGTTGTCTCTAACATGAGACTAATAACATTAAGTTATTTAATAAGATAACAACTAAAGTGGGTTCTAACATGAGACTAATAACATTAAGTTATTTAATAAGATACCGACTAAAGTGGGTTCTAACATGAGACTTATAACATTAAGTTATTCAATAAGATACCGACTAAAGTGGGTTCTAACATGAGACTAATAACATTAAGTTATTTAATAAGATACCGACTAAAGTGGGTTCTAACAAGAGACTAATAACATTAAGTTATTTAATAAGATACCGACTAAAGTGGGTTCTAACATGAGACTAATAACATTAAGTTATTTAATAAGATACCGACTAAAGTGGGTTCTAACATGAGACTAATAACATTAAGTTATTCAATAAGATACCGACTAAAGTGGGTTCTAACATGAGACTTATAACATTAAGTTATTTAATAAGATACCGACTAAAGTGGGTTCTAACATGAGACTAATAACATTAAGTTATTTAATAAGATACCGAATAAAGTGGGTTCTAACATGAGACTTATAACATTAAGTTATTTAATAAGATACCGACTAAAGTGGGATCTAACATGAGACTTATAACATTAAGTTATTTAATAAGATACCGACTAAAGTGGGTTCTAACATGAGACTAATAACATTAAGTTATTTAATAAGATACCGACTAAAGTGGGTTCTAACATGAGACTAATAACCATAAGTTATTTAATAAGATACCGACTAAAGTGGGTTCTAACATGAGACTAATAACATTAAGTTATTTAATAAGATACCGACTAAAGTGGGTTCTAACATGAGACTAATAACATTAAGTTATTTAATAAGATACCGACTAAAGTGGGTTCTAACATGAGACTAATAACATTAAGTTATTTAATAAGATACCGACTAAAGTGGGTTCTAACATGAGACTAATAACATTAAGTTATTTAATAAGATACCGACTAAAGTGGGTTCTAACATGAGACTAATAACATTAAGTTATTTAATAAGATACCGACTAAAGTGGGTTCTAACATGAGACTAATAACATTAAGTTATTTAATAAGATACCGACTAAAGTGGGTTCTAACATGAGACTTATAACATTAAGTTATTTAATAAGATACCGACTAAAGTGGGTTCTAACATGAGACTAATAACATTAAGTTATTTAATAAGATACCGACTAAAGTGGGTTCTAACATGAGACTAATAACATTAAGTTATTTAATAAGATACCGACTAAAGTGGGTTCTAACATGAGAGTAATAACATTAAGTTATTTAATAAGATACCGACTAAAGTGGGTTCTAACATGAGACTAATAACATTTAGTTATGGCATAATACACCGACTGGAGTGATTTCTAACATGAGACATATAACATTTTGTTATGGCATAAGACACCGATTAAAGTGGTTTGTAACATGAAACCAATAACATTTAGTTATGACATAAGACACCGACTTGAGTGGTTTCTGACATGTTACCAATAACATTTTGTAATGACATAAGACAATGAATAATGTTGTTTCTAACATGAAACCAATAACATTTAGTTATGACAAAAGTCACCGATAACATATAGACATGACATAAGACACCGACTAATGTTGTTTCTAACATGAGACTAATAACATTAAGTTACGATAAATGACACCGATTAGTTTTTAACATGAGACCAATAACATTTAGTTATGACATGAGACACCGACCAAAGTGGTTTCTGACATGAGACCAATATCATTTAATTATGACATAACACACCGACTAAAGTTGTTTCTAACCTGAGACCAATCACATTTAGTTATGACATAAGACACCGACTAAAGTAGTTTGGGACATGAGCATGACATAAGACACCGATTTAAGTGGTTTTGACATGATAATGACACATGAATATGTTAAACACTGTTTGCTTTACACATGGCCACTGTGGTCAGTCTAATATACGATATACATGGCCATTGTGGTCAGTCTGATATACGATACACATGGCCATTGTGGTCAGTCTGATATACGATACACATGGCCACTGTGGTCCGTCTGATATACGATACACAACATTTCTGTGGTCCGTCTGATATACGATACACAACATTTCTGTGGTCCGTCTGATATACGATACACAACATTTATTTTAATATATAAGAGGTAAATATTTAACAATCCAATGTACCATATGTTTGTTTCATTAAAATGTATAGTACCCTATGTTACTTTTTATTCACCTCATCACAGGTTGTACTGGAGTATTTGAATTATATTTTGTAGATTTAAATAATGTTCTTCTTGGTCAGTCTGATGTTTGTATACCTAACTGTCAGCCATGTCAATACAGATGCTGCAAGAGGGAGGAAATGTTACTTTTCACCAAAATGTCTTTGTTTCTCAATTTTACCAACACCATACTACAACGCAGTATGTTCCCATTCACTGTTACATGCCATTCCAGTCTTCAAAGATAACATACATAGCATCGATTTAAGCTACAATCTTATACAAAGAATACAAAACAGACATTTTAGTTACAATGGCAACCTAAAGGAATTAAATCTGTCACACAACAAGATTAAAACATTGTCAAATTACTCTTTTCATGGACTGCGTAAATTGTCAAAGCTGATCGTAAGCCGAAATGAAATAGACAGTGTAGAAACTAACACATTTTTCTATTTACAATCTTTGACATATTTAGACGCGAAACAAACTAAAATCAATGTTTCAACTCTGCAATCTCTTCCGTTTCTGAAAACATTAAGAATGGACTTTATACTAAATGGGAGTGACAGTCTATCATTTAGACTTTTGCAATTAAAACATCTTGACTTGTCGGGAACGTCTGGTAGATGTGACGCTAGAACGTTGACCGTAGATGTGTTCAAATTTATTCCTAACATAGAGGATCTCAATCTTTCCGCGTGTAAAATCAATTGGATCTATAAGGGAACTTTTCGATTCATGAAGAATCTTTCAATACTGGATTTATCTTATAATCCTTGCCTTAAATTTTCAGTCGCTGAAAATGTAACCCACGATTTGATATATACCTCTATCAAGATTTTAAAAGTGAATAAAATTCATAAAACATTTGAGATGAATACGATGATCAGACGTTCACATTTAAGAAACTTGAAGAAAACAAATCTTACAGAACTACAAATAAATAGTAATAGGATACAAAAAATTCAGAAAGGGGCATTACTTTATCTACCGAGTTCACTTCGTACTATATCCATGTCCGATAATGAATTTTCGTACGGCGATTATCTTTCGGATATGATGGTTGTACCAGCTGAACATATAAACATTTCCGAATTATTTAAATCTCACATTCCTTTAATCAACGAGGAACAATGCGACTACCGAAATAATAGTAATTGTGAGGAAGAGAAAGTTGAAAAACACATTTCTTCATCAAGTGCAATTTTTGTTCCTTTGCCATATAGGCTTAAATCATTGGTCTATAGAAAATGCTTGATTCGATACGAAATACCACCAATTAATTTGGGGGGAAACAAGATCGAGTATCTGGATGGTCATCAAAATATGTTCTACTCTTTGACAGGTCCATTGTGTCCCCTAGATCATTTGACATATCTGGATCTGTCTGATAATATGAGTTCTAATGTATCAAAAGTGTTCTTCCAATGTACCCCGAATTTACAGATACTGCGATTACAAAATAATCTTTTAGGATTTGTTCTGCCTGATGATGTTAACGGTGAAATATTACAACATGTTCCACAACTTAGAGAAATTAACCTATCAGAAAATAGAATACCGACATTACCATATCATTTTTTTCAGTCACAAATTTTAGTTCGACGTTTATACTTAGATGGTAATTTGTTAGATTATCTTATATTTAAGATTGACCATATGAAAGACCTTAATTTTCTAGGTCTATCTAACAACCGATTTTCGTATTTGGATAAAAAAGCAAGGGATCAGTTAGAAACTGTATTTATGAATAACAAAAATTTAAGCATTGATATTAGTGGGAATCCACTTAAGTGTACGTGTGATACCAAAGATTTTATACAATGGATGGGAAACACGAAGATTCAATTTAATAGACTGCATTTCTACACGTGCAGATTATCAACCGATAAAAAGCAAAACTTAAATAACCCAAAGCGTTTATATGAAGATTTGCAAAAGGAATGCGCTTCTTACACGTCCTTAATCATAGGATTAATATCATTGGTTGTTTTATTTGTTTCCATACTGACTTTAGGACTAGTGTACAGACATAGATGGAGAATTCGATATATGTACTACATGGTTAAGATAAGATATTTTGAAACTAAGCGAAAGACTAACGAGAAGAAGATATACACGTACGATGCCTTTGTTTCATACGAAAATAATGATCGATCATTTGTCCATGGACAACTTCTTCGAAAACTGGAGAACGATGCCGGATTAAAATTATGCATTCACCAAAGAGATTTTCTCCCAGGACGTGACATTGCAGAAAATATAACTTCTGCTATTCACGACAGTCGTAAAATTGTCGTCATAATGTCACCAAACTATTTAGATTCCTATTGGTGTATGTTCGAATATAATATGGCAAGAGTAGAAAGTATTTATTCTAGAAACAAAGAAAACATTTTATTCCTAGTTTTCCTGCAACAAATGTCACCGAGAGGTTTGCCATTATTTGTTTTAGAACTTGTACAGTCACAATCGTACATAGAATACCCTAACGACGAATATGGGGACACAGTTTTCTGGGAAAAAATGAAGGAAGTTTTGGCATAGACGCCTTTATACTTTAGTATGCCAAAGGCCTACAGTTGAACGTTGTTTTGATGAGTCTCAAGCTGTTTCAATGACTTTTAAACTTAACACAGGGTCAGCGAAAACAGATTTTTCCACTTCGTCACAATGTTCTTCGTAAATAGAAAAGAAGGAATTATTTTCAAACTAACATTTAAGAAGATTTAAAAGTGGTTTTTCTAATGTGATTCGTTTTTCTTTTTAAGTTTTTAGGAAATCTTTGAGATATGTAAACGATTTGTTTTTTCGATGAAAGGAGTTTCAAATTCAGTAAATAAGGTTTCTTTTAACCTTGTTTCAGTATTTCACAGAAAAGGAAGGATCGGTTTCTTTTAATCGATGCTGAACGTCAACTGAACGTTGGGACAATGATTTCAGATTTTCTTATGTCATCTTATTGTCAACTTTCCATTGCATAACAACATTCTATTATCTATAAAATGGCATTCTCTTGTCTGATTTGACAAGTTATATTTGAAAAGTATGCTAGAGCTTACGTTAATTATGGCAAAATCACTTATTCACAAGAATACACGAGATTCCAATTTCGATTTTATGAGTGAACTGCCTTTGGTTGACTTGGGTTCATTTGTGGGGAATATATAGTTATCAAAGGTACCAGGCTTTTAATTTAATACGCCAGACGCGCGTGTCGTATACATAAGACTCTTAGATTGCTTAGATCAAAAAAGTTAGAAAGCCAAACAAGTATAAAGTTGATGAGCATTGAGGACCCAACATTCCTAAAAGTTGTGCCAAATACGGCTAAGAAAATCTATACCCGGGATAAGAAAATCCTAAGTATTTCGAATAATTCATACTTTTGCAAACAGTTAATTTATAAAAATGACCATATAATGCATTATAAGAAAATTATAGCACCAATTGGAAGGTCATGTATAGTCACATAACTAAAATGTAAACTAAGAAGGTTTTGAGAAAGAAAGATTGATTTCATCACCAGGAAATCAATGTGACAAAAAAAGATTGACATTATCACATGATAAGTACTACGGTCGCTTTAAAAAAAAAAGATCCTTTAAATTATATTGCTTCAGCTCCTCACCTCATTACTTACACTTTTGATACCGCCATAGATTCCATTTGTCCACGGGCATTTGGACATGACTACAAGTTGAGACGTTTTGGTGTGGAATTTAAAAAAATTCTTATTATTGTGTTTTGATTAATATTTAATACTTAAACATTCTTTACTGGCGTGTAATTTTTTATAATATCGCACGTTCTTTAAACATACAAATTAAGTTAACTAGCTTTAAAAGTTACAATGCACGTGTTGGCTATTATCTTTTTCGGACGTCAAAGAGATTTAATAATTGCGGTTGTCTAATTTTTTCACTTAGTATCTTTTAACTTTTATCTTGTCTAACATTTTATTCTAAAACGAATGCATGATCAACTAGCAATTACAAAACATAGACAAAATATACTTTCGTACGGTCTTTTTCGTACTTGCAAAATATTGGACAGTAAACGCTAGTTGGACCAAGTCTTATGAAATTTGAATATAACTTTATGAAATAGGTAAAGTGTACTGTTAGGTGTATATAGGAAACCGGAACTTTTTTTTACTTGTGAAAAACCCTTGACAGCAGAAACGTATTCATGATTATGCACAGACTATTCCTCCTTTGTGTGTAGTTTTTTTTTTCTTTGGGTGGGGGTGTTCATGCACATACCTGAACATTATTTTTTTAATATCAGGGTCGAAAACTACGTCCCTACTTTTGGATGTAAATCGACAATTAGATTTGTTTCCCTCTTTTTTCTGAAATAAAGTATTTTTTTTCTTTTCCAAGTTTTTTAGAATCAATTTGATATTTTTTTAAATCGACCAAACTTACACACTCACACAATAATGCAGTTTATAGAAATTCATAACAGCGTGGACATGGACATAATGTTTGATTTTTATTTGTTTATTGGTCCATAATATGAGTGTATTTAAAACCCTCTTTTCAAAGAAACGAAACAACTAATCGCTAATATGAGCGTAGAACTAAATATATATTGTGTTCTGTAAATGTAAATATAAATGAAGAAAAAGTAAGAAAAATATTTATAGTCCATCATGCATTGTAAATCATTCAGTGGATTGGTCAATCGCTTAAAAAACAACACTTTATTTGTTAACAAACACTAATACATGCATTGAAGGGAGCATAAGTATGCTAAATAATATAAGGAAATATGTCTGACCTCTTAAATGCAGCTATTTTTTTTTTATTTGAAAAACGAATTGACGGGTCACAGCAATTACATTTAGAATTGAACTTACTTTTTTTTCAATTTGTGTTTCAGTATCTATCCAGGAATTGAACATCTTCACAATACCTTTTATATTAGAGTAATCATACGAGAGCACACAGTTTAAAGGTTATCATTACACTGTTACGGGTTATGTTGACATAGAGTGCATTTCTTTTTAACACAAACGATGCAAACGGCTAAGCGCGCACATGTTTTGATCATTTGTTTCTAACATACGTTTGCAAAGTTTACATAAACTTTGACAAACTAGGGAAGGTGTAAAAGACAGATATGAGATACAGCGATACAAGACACGAGATACGAGATACATGAAATAAAATATCTGTGAAATATACTAAAATTTGTATCATAATTAATTAAATCGAGGTCTCAATTAAACATGGTAGCAAACGTCATTTAAAGCTGTCATGTACTGAATGCTTGAGTGGAGTGAAGTTGTGGGTGTACATTTTTTAATTTTATAAGTAAACCCATTTTCAGTATACAGTTTTTGTACAATGTATCACAGTATCCCCTTATATACATGTATGTCTAGTACAACTTCTTACTTCATTCTTTGAATATGGTATGATTTTGATTATACATGTACATGTACTTTGTTCCAATATTATAACTAACTTAAGGTGGTATGTGTATCTCCAAACATGCAAAGTTCATGTCACATACACATATTTGAAGGTGCTTTGAAATAGTGTACAGGTTATAACTTTTTACTTGAAAACAAAGTGTCTGTTGTTATTTTTAGGCAAATACAAATTCACCAGAATAAACTGCAGTCTTCAAACCAAACAAAACTTTTAGTTTCATTAAATTCTGTATTGTTCATTTGAAAAAAATTTGAACTTGCTTTATTTGTGACCGATCTTTCGAATCTTGAAGAAAATAACATGTATCTATGGAGATCAGTATCATTCTTAAAGTTATTCTGAATTGAAGAATAAAGATTTTTAGTGACTGATTTTGTTTAATATAAATGCACAATTAACTTAATTGTTTTTCCCAAGATTAAAATTTAATATATTTCAATATTTAAGGAGGGAGGCCATTAAGATAATACTTCCATAAAATGTAACATATCAGATTCATGGGATAATTTATTAAATGAACAAATCATAGGTCACTTCTGAAAATAAACAAAACACCGACAATGTGTTGAAAGATGATGAGTTTATGTGGAAAAGGTAATAAAATTGAATTTTATCTGTAAACTTTTTCTCGGCAATGACAGCAATTAAATAATTTTGAAACAAGGCAGAGGCAATTGGTGCAACAATACATCTTAAAAATGTTATCAACTGAGAATGTGAACTTATGTCAATGGTTGTTGGACAATAAGCCATTGCAAGATACTTGTTCAGCACAGCAACATGTCGAAGAAATTTTTTTCTAAAGAAAAGTTATTCAGAAGCTGGAAGGGGTATATCGGAAGAAAAAAATGAAGGTAAGTTTTTTTTAAATTATTAGACTTTATAGCTCACCTGGCCCGAAGGCGTCACTTGGCGTCCGTCGTCCGTCGTCGTGGTAATAAGCATTGTGTATAAGTTTCATAACATTTGGTTGAGGCAAACTAAAGTTAGAGAACCGAAACAAAAAATTCGGCAATTTTTATACAACCGCAAAATTTTTTTTGGGTTCGTATAATGCTATGATGTCGTCGTCGTCGTCGTCGTCGTCCGAAGACACATTTGCTTTCCGGACAATAACTTTAGTTTAAGTGAATGGATCTCTATGAAATTTTACAAGAAGGTTCAATACCACAAAAGGAAGGTTGGGATTGATTTTGGGAGTTATGGTACCAACAGTTTAGGAATTAGGGGCCAAAAGCAAGCATTTTTGTAGTTTCGGGACAATAACTTGTTTGTTAGTGTATGGATCTCACTGACATTGTACCACAATGTTCCATATCATTAAGGGAAGGCTGGGATTGAGTATGGTATTTTAGCATGTGAAAAACTCTGTCAACAACTTTTAAATGGGGTTTGCAGTGTCATTTTTGATGACAATCTACAAGTGAGGCCGCAAAACAAACAAAAGAACATAAAAATGTATTTGTTTAACTTTTGGGAAAACAGATTTCAAAATTTTTTGAAAAGTTTCAAGAAGAAATCTTCAATTGCACAGTATTGCGCAATAGATTTTTAACCTCATTTATTTTGTGTCAGAAACTTATATTATGTCACAATTTTGATCACAATCCAAATTCAGACAGTATCAAGCTTGAATATTGTGTCCAAATTTGCCCCAACTGTTCAGGGTTTGACCTCTGCGGTCGTATATGGCTGCGCTCAGCGAATCATTTTATTCCATTTGTAATGGGGCGTAACTCTAAAACGGCAAAAGTGACGCCACCAAAATTCAAACTTGGTCTATGTTTTGAGGTAGTAAGCATTGTGTATAAGATTCATAACATTTGGTTGAGGCAAACTAAAGTTAGAGAACGGAAACCAAAAAATTTGCAATTTTTATACGACCGCAAAAATTGAAAATTTTTTGGTCGTATATTGGTATGACGTTGGCGTCGTCGTCGTCGTCGTCGTCGTCGTTGTCGTCGTCGTCGTCGTCGTCGTCGTCGTCCGGCGTCGTCTGGCGTCGTCCGAAGACACATTGGTTTTCGCACTCTAACTTTGGTTTAAGTGAATGGATCTCCATGAAATTTTACCATAAGGTTCAATACCATGAAAGGAAGGTTGGGATTGATTTTGGGGGTTATGGTACCAACAGTTAAGGAATTAGGGGCCAAAAAGGGGCCAACAATAAGCATTTTTGTAACTTCCAGACAATAACTTGTGTGTAAGTGTATGGATCTCTCTGACATTGTACCACAAGGTTCCATATCACAAAGGGAAGGCTGTTATTGATTTTGGGGGTAATTGCCTCAAAATGTTAGGAATTAGGGGCCAAAAAAGGGGAAAAAAACAAGCATTTTTCTAGTTTCATGACAATAACTTGTGTATAAGTGTTTGGATATTTCTGAAATTGTACTACAAGGTTCCATATCACAAAGGGAAAGCTGGAATTGAGTTTGGGGGTAATTGCCCGAAACGTTTAGGAATTGGGGGCCAAAAAGGGGCCAAAAATAAGCATTTTTCTAGTTTCCAGACAATAACTTGTGTTCAAGTGTATGGATCTCTCTGAAATTGTACTGCAAGGTACCATACCACAAAGGGAAGGCTGAGATTGAGTTTGGGGGTGATGAATCATAAGGGGGTTCAAAAAATTTTGGGGGGGGGGGGATTTTTTTTTTTTTCTTTTTTTTTTCTTTTTTTCCTTTTTTTTTTTCTTTTAAAATTTTCCATTTTAAGTTGGTTATTTCTGATTTATATTTAAAAGCAAATAATAATGATATGGTAGGAGATACACACCAAACAGGATGTGTAAATTATTATATAATAAGTATTGTGCAATAGCAAGAAATTTTCAATTGCACAGTATTGCACAATAGCAAGAAATCTTCAATTGCACAGTATTGCGCAATAGCAAGAAATCTTCAATTGCACAGTATTGCGCAATAGCAAGAAATATCCAATAGCACAATATTGCGCAATAGCAAGAAATTGTCAATTGTACAGTATTGCGCAATAGCAAGAAATAATCAATTGCACAGTATTGTGCAAAAGAAGATACTTCGTATAAATTGCTTATTTCTTGATCAATTTCAATGGGGTATTATTCTTGAATTCTTGGGGTTCTTTAATATGCTGAATCTAACCGTGTATTAAGTTTTTAGATTTTGGGCCCCGTTTTTAAATTGGTCCACATTGAGGTCCAAAGGGTCCAAAATTTTACTTTGTTTGATTTCATCAAAAATTGAATTATTGGGGTTCTTTGATATGCCGAATCTAACCGTGTATTTAGATTCTTAATTTTTGGTTCTGTTTTCAAATTGGTCTACATAAAGGTCCAAAGGGTCCAAAATTAAACTTAGTTTGATTTCAACAAAAATTGAATATATGGGGTTTTTTGATATGCTGAATCTAACCATGTATTTAGATTTTTGATTATGGGCCCAGTTTTCGAGTTGGTCCAAATCGGGGTCCAAAATTAAACTTTGTTTGATTTCAACAAAAATTGAATATATGGGGTTCTTTGATATGCTGAATCTAACCATGTATTTAGATTTTTGATTATGGGCCCAGTTTTCAAGTTGGTCCAAATCGGGGTCCAAAATTAAACTTTGTTTGATTTCAACAAAAATTGAATATATGGGGTTCTTTGATATGCTGAATCTAACCATGTATTTAGATTTTTGATTGTTGGGCCCCGTTATCAACTTTGTCCACATTGAGATCAAAAGGGTCCAAAATTAAACTTTGTTTGATTTCATCAAAAATTGAATATATGGGGTTCTTTGATATGCTGAATCTAACCATGTATTTAGATTTTTGATTATGGGCCCAGTTTTCGAGTTGGTCCAAATCGGGGTCCAAAATTAAACTTTGTTTGATTTCAACAAAAATTGAATATATGGGGTTCTTTGATATGCTGAATCTAACCATGTATTTAGATTTTTGATTATGGGCCCAGTTTTCAAGTTGGTCCAAATCGGGGTCCAAAATTAAACTTTGTTTGATTTCAACAAAAATTGAATATATGGGGTTCTTTGATATGCTGAATCTAACCATGTATTTAGATTTTTGATTGTTGGGCCCCGTTATCAACTTTGTCCACATTGAGATCAAAAGGGTCCAAAATTAAACTTTGTTTGATTTCATCAAAAATTGAATATATGGGGTTCTTTGATATGCTGAATCTAACCATGTATTTAGATTTTTGATTATGGGCCCAGTTTTCAAGTTGGTCCAAATCGGGGTCCAAAATTAAACTTTGTTTGATTTCAACAAAAATTGAATATATGGGGTTCTTTGATATGCTGAATCTAACCATGTATTTAGATTTTTGATTGTTGGGCCCCGTTATCAACTTTGTCCACATTGAGATCAAAAGGGTCCAAAATTAAACTTTGTTTGATTTCATCAAAAATTGAATATATGGGGTTCTTTGATATGCTGAATCTAACCATGTATTTAGATTTTTGATTATGGGCCCAGTTTTCAAGTTGGTCCAAATCGGGGTCCAAAATTAAACTTTGTTTGATTTCAACAAAAATTGAATATATGGGGTTCTTTGATATGCTGAATCTAACCATGTATTTAGATTTTTGATTATGGGCCCAGTTTTCAAGTTGGTCCAAATCGGGGTCCAAAATTAAACTTTGTTTGATTTCAACAAAAATGGAATATATGGGGTTCTCTAATATGCTGAATCTAACCGTGTATTAAGTTTTTGGATTTTGGGCCCCGTTTTTAAATTGGTCCACATTGAAGTCCAAAGGGTCCAAAATTTAACTTTGTTTGATTTCATCAAAAATTGAATTATTGGGGTTCTTTGATATGCCGAATCTAACTGTGTATTTAGATTCTTAATTTTTGGTTCCGTTTTCAAATTGGTCTACATAAAGGTCCAAAGGGTCCAAAATTAAACTTAGTTTGATTTTAACAAAAATTGAATTTTTATGGTTCTTTGATATGCTGAATCTAAACATGTATTTAGATTTTTGATTATGGGCCCAGTTTTCAAGTTGGTCCAAATCGGGGTCCAAAATTAAACTTTGTTTGATTTCAACAAAAATTGAATATATGGGGTTCTTTGATATGCTGAATCTAACCATGTATTTAGATTTTTGATTTTTGGGCCCTGTTATCATTTTTGTCCACATTGAGATCAAAAGGGTCCAAAATTAAACTTTGTTTGATTTCATCAAAAATTGAATTCTTGGGGTTCTTTGATATGCTGAATCTAACCATGTATTTAGATTTTGGATATTG